AACTGAGTGGTTAGGTCTGTAGAGGCATTGGAAAATGGCTTGTTTTGTCTAAAACAGGCCAAAAATGACCAAAATAGCACAAAATGACCATTTTCTGGAGGCTCTACAAGCATAACCACTCAGTATTTTTAACTAATTCTTTGATAGGCTCATTCAGGTTGACCAGAGGTATGTTCTGGCTACCTCCCCAGTTAGTGCATATTTTTTTTTTCAGATGCCAAAAGTGGCCTCCAGAACAAAAACCTTCTCAAGGCTCCAGCTTTCACTGAAATTAGTCCATACCAAGTGAAGTGTAACACAACTACATGATGTAAAAGAATACACAAATACATTTGAGGTACAATAGATTCTTAGAAAGAACCAGAAAAATGAACCAACCTTCATTCTTTTTGCACTCAACTGTATGTATGCACTGATCCTTCCTAATTATCCCTTCACAACTTTCTTTTTCACACTTCCAAGAATTCTTTCTGCACATTTTAGACCAATGTTCTGTGTTGATTTTCTAGTTTTCTGTTGGGTATCTAGTTTCTGTGTCTGCCCCAATGTATTATTTCCATTAGGAGATACACTTGGTCCTAAGACAGGTAGTAGATGTATATTATAGAGCCTCAGGGCCTCACTTCTTGGTTTTGATTAGAAGAGTGACTGCTAGTTGCTTTCCTGGTATTGGGAGTGCTGGGCCACTGATAAAGTTGTGGTTGTGAAGCTGTATTTTTTTATTTAGATTTCTCAATTTGAGCTTCAACTCCTTTGTATTGAGATTTGTGTTGCAACATTTGTCTGCCAGGTTGCATAACATTCAGTCAGAGTCATTCCTCAAGCTAAAATTACCATCAATAAATGACATTTTTTATAACAAGGGATGATGCAGTACACAATGTTGTGGAGGGAAAGATGTCAAAAACGCAAAGGACAGGACAAGACAGGGGCGTGGGAATTATTTACCAAATTGAGGCAATTCTCAATATAGAAATCATACCAGCTGCTATGATTTCCATTCTCGGATTTATTTTCGTAGCAGCTGCTATGATTTCATATTTGGAAAACATTGCAGCTGCTACCACCCACAGGCATGGGAACTCCGCCGCTCGGGTGATGACCCCTTGGGCTGAGGAAGGCGAAAAACATGGTTCGCCCCTAATTCCTAAAAGGGAAACTACGTACGTCACACATGCTTACAAAAAATCACACTTTCCCATCCTACTTTGAAAGCGCTCTAACATGGCGGACTTTTTTTATTTTATTTTAAACTAAGCGTAGTCGCATTTCAGGTTATGGGGGCACCGCGGATCGAACGCGGGACCTTCAGAAAGCAATGGATACGACTTCAGTCTGCTGCTCTCCCAGCTGAGCTATGCCCCCGGTGAAGTTATGCTGAAAGAGTATATGGTCTTGGGTCGACAGAGTGCATCACGAGGAAGGACAACTCGAAGGAAAAACATACTGACCGCATCCATACTGTAGAATAAAAGGTAAGAGGGGTTACATAATGATCAAGGAACTTAAGCTGATAGTCGCAGACAATTGAGTGGAAGGAGCAGTGGTTAACATTAAACAGACGATTGAATATGTGAGCCGGAATTCAGGTTTCCGGATATTAACCGGAATACTGGGGCGGGGTAGTTGAGTATTCGTTAAACCAGCCTGGGGTAGGGAAATCAGTGCTAGTCGCAGTATCGGACATGGGAGTTTTCGTTATAGTTGATTGATCAATTCGAGAAAGGAGAGTGGGAAGACTTACAGAAGATTGACGACGGGCTGACTTCACGACGCAGTCCATGCTTCCATCCATTCCGAAAGATATCTCCAAGCTATACTAACACTTATACGTCTCAACGTGTTTCCACAAGGATCCATGGCTTACTTGCTCCTCTTATAAATCTTACCCAAGAAGCTCTCGAACACCTCCCGCTTCAAACCGCCTTCAGTCTCCACAATGCCGCCGATCTTCGCCTTCAACTCCCCAACAACCCGTTCCTCATACTCCCCATAAACCTTGGTAATATCCAACGTCTCATACACCTTCTTAACGCGCGCCTCGCACTGCGCATCCTTTCTCCCATAATTCTCATCAAGAACCTTCCTCATCTCCGCGCCGCCAGGCGTAGAAGGCTTGGAGCAGAGTAACAACGCGGTATTGATGACCCACGAGCACTTGTTATCGATGATATCCGTGCCGATTTTCCCGAGTTGTTCCGAGGGAGCCGAGTAATCGAGGAAATCGTCCTGGATCTGGAAGTACTCCCCGAGAGGGAGGAGGATCGACTTGGAGATTTCGTACGGCTTTTGCGTGACACCAGAGGCGGTGTAGGATTCGGGGATGTTGAGCAGGTGCAATGCGCAGGCGACGGGGAGATAGAAGGAGTAGTATGCCGTTTTGTAGATCACGATCGAGCGGTGCCTGAAGTTATAATAGATAGGGATTAGGGGTTATCGGGGAGTAAGGTGGAAACGATGCGCACCTATCCAAAGAGAATTTATTCAAATCGACGTGGTCCTCTGGGGCGGTGATGAGGTCTACGAGCTGGCCCATTTCCGTTTGGTATGTTGTTTCGTGGAAGAGCTCGAGCAGGTCGACGTAGAACTTTTCACTGCGGAAGTGGGTCTTGAGGAGCTGGTAAATGGCAGCTTCAAGGATGAAGGAATCGTTGATGGCGATCATCCCAATCTCAGGCAGGCGGTACCAGCAGGGTTGGGAACGACGCGTAATGGAAGAGTCCATGATGTCGTCGGAGACCAAAAAGAAGGCTTGCAGCTGCAACAAGGGTGAGGTGGCGCTGGATACCATTGAAAAGCTGACCTACGAGTTCGATGCACCAGCCAAGCACAGCCGCCTTGAAGTACTCATCCTCAGTCAACGCGCTCCCTTTGAGAATCTCGACGGTGTCAACGACAGATATTCCACGGTTGAGCTTCCCGCCCGGGACGTTGTAGTCCAAATTCTAATCAACATTCGTCAGAGATTCTCCAGCAAAAAATCGGTCAAAACGGACCTTGCGATACCACTCCACTGCTTCTACTGGCATCCCCTCCCCTGCGAAATGCTGCAATAGCTCCTCACGAATCGCGGCAAAGACGCCTTCGAACTTTGCCCTGCTAGCTGCTTTGTCGGCCATGGTATGCGGAGAACGATGTTATCGATGAGAATCGATCAAGAGGTGAACGGAGGCAAAACCTGGGTCCTGGTGCTTTATTATACTTTGACATTTTAACTCGGGTCTCCTGCGTAAGTTAGTCAAAAGCATGGCCTGCAAGTTGTATGATGAAGACGCGAGTAAATTTCTCCGATTCGCTTCATATTTCAACAAAATATCACATTGCCGTGTGTTGCTCTTTTTGACGAGTAACATATTCCAAAGGGGGTCGCCTATGACACACAAATATTGCATCAAAACTCTGCCGAAATAAACGTCGAAAACGACGGCGAAGCTTCACATTCAGAAAGTTGATACGCTAGATCATCGAAGGAGGAACTTTTTTTTTTCCCCTAACGAAAAGTTGGTAATTGAATGGGGACGCGAGGTGTAAAACGGGGGTCCCAGGGGTCCAGGTTGTAATTGCAACATTCAGCGGAGTTCAAGGTATTATACAACGTCCACCAAACGTCCACCAAGACGTTCATGGACACATTTTCTTCAATGCATACTGGGCCCTCCAAATTCTGCCACCACCATCCTAGTCAATTCTAGTTCTTCCGTCCTTTACCCATGCGAAGCTCACGTTCTAGATCTGCCGGATTTACTTAGGTATGTACTTGGCCACGCGAACTCGGGATCAGCCGCCGTTCTTTGATGGCATTCTACCCAGCGTTCTTTCCATGGCCTCCAACGCCCAAGGATTCGTCATCGAAGGCGGCAGATTCAACGAGGTTCAGAACCAAAATGTCGATCATTCCACTAATTACCAGCTTAATATAAGCTTTACATCTGAGGTTCTTCATTCCAAAGCTGGGGCCTCAGCCAATGACTTCGGATCTCTGCTGAATCGTGAAGCATTGGACGAATTAATTTCGCAAGCGAACTTGCTCGTCGGACCAGTGAAAAGCAGCAGTTCCTTGACGTCTGAAGGGTCGGAGCGTTCTATGTCATCCGAATCGACGCCGTCTATCAACGTTTCCACTGTCAACGGCCCGGGAGCCATCGAACGCCCTGTCGCGGTGCCCATACCTGAACCACAAGTCAAGGTCATACAAGAGGTTGAAAAAAGGCTTGCTATATATACGGGCGTAGATAAAGCGTTGAAAAAGCTCAATAGATCGATCAGCGTATGAGTTTTTCAAACCCTTTATATCCTGTAGTATGCTGATGCACTTTTGGTCTTTCCCACTTAGATCGTCTTGACCCTTACGCCTGCTATGACTCACGAGTTCGATACTCCGTGGGCTACGATTGTTTGGAAGGTAGTATCCATCCATCCTGCATTTACTTTCATTAGCTCATCACAATACAGGTCCTGATATTCGAAAAAATAGGTGCATATCCTGACTTTCCGTCAGTTGGACGTCTGGATGACAGCCATTCGCAGCTACGATGCGAAGACAAATTGACTGGACTAGCCGGTGTGTAATTCCACATGGTCTTCCGAGTTAATCCAGTTTTGATCTCCTCTCCAGAACTGGATTCTGCACTGTCGAAGAGCTCGACGACGGAACGCTGCAACCAGGTGATCTACGTTCAGTCGTGACGGTGATTCGGCTCCCACCATCGTCAGATTTTCCACTCAATAATCTGAGTTATCAGCCAGGAACAGCGACCATCTTGCAAACTGTAGAAGGTGACGAAGAGTTTTCTCAGCAAATGGAAGTACCGTCGGATGAAATGCGAGGTGTGTGCAATTTGACGGGCTTTGAACAGCGATTGGCCCTGTGTAAGCCGACTCCCTTGGCTCAAGCATGAGTACTAAGTAAAGAAAAAGGCTCCATCGACCCCAAGAAGCCGAAATCGAACCAATTCTCTCCCGTAGTAGATCTTGCCGTTGGGTCCGTGGTTATTCGTTGTTGTAAATTTCAATCACTCAACGTTTTTATAGAGAGTTCTTTGCCTGCGGGCCGCCTGTAATGCTTCAAGCATTTGCCGTCCCTCCTTCTGAATACCAGGGTCAGTTTAATTGATCTCAGCATAGCACACCTACTTATCCATCCAAACTGTAGAACGGCAACCAATTGATACTCGCACGCTCCTTCGGCCGCTTTTCGTCAGTGCTGGCACTTCTGCGCCCGAACCCATCGATATCAGCAAATTAAGCAAGCCGGTATGAGGAATTGTCGTTTCGACCCATTCACTAATGGGTTTGCTTAATACAGATCACATTCTTCCGTCTTTACTCTGATACATCTGGTAAAATAGTGTTGGAAAAGGACAAGTGATGTTCAAGACATTACTTAGCGCTATTCGTTCTCGACATTTGTAACCTTAAAATCGATTGCTGATGAAGTACATGAAAGATATGTATTGGTCACTATGTAGGATGAGCGTTTTTGATACAAGTACAGTCCATGTGCGATAATACCGAAACGTGTGCAATAACTAAAGCTAAAGCTAGGTTCTTAAGAGGAGAGCGAGTGAGATAACAAGGGATAACGATAACAAGAATCAAGGGTCCACGACCAAACGGTGTGGCAGATCTATACACTAAAGAAACCAATGGAGAGCCGACGTGCAAGTGTGGGGTAATGAGGTGCGATTCTAAATAGGAGTCTCATTCATGCGAGAATGAAGATGGAATTGGAGGATGCAGATGCGATAGAAGTCGGCGAGTGGTGGGTGGTGGATACTGACGAGAGATGAAGATGCGCAGAGATGGCGTTACAAATGGATAAATGTGGAATGGGTGCGAGTTTGATTCAGGATTAATTCGTTGATTGAGGCAAAATCAGGATTATTTTGCCTGGCCCTTACAAGTCTTCTTATGGCGTTTGAGTGAAGAAGCAGTAGTTGGATTCGCCGTGCAAGCCCCAATCCCGCAACGGTATCTTTTCGGTTGCCCCGTCGTGTCAGCTGGGTTCAGCGATACGGCATGCCCGACCGTGTGGAGAATGTGCCTGGTAAATTGGCCTTTTAAGATCGGTTTTTTGGACGTACATCCAGCCCAGACACACTTGATCCTTGGTTCAGCATTCATGTACTCAGAATGACAGGCATTGAAGTGGGCGGTTAAGGCTGCCTGGGTGTTTGAAACGGGTGTTAGGCAGGAGTTCCACCGACATAAGATTTTTTCAGATTTAACGTTACTGTTCTTGGTGTGGTGCTCATGCCCAACGGTGTTGTCGTTAGTATGCTCAGGAAGGTTGACGGCCTCCAGGTCTCCTTCAAAGTCTATACGAGTCCGCTTTATAGAAGACGGGCCGGCGTCAGGCGCAGCCTCAATGAGAGGAGACACGAATGAGGGGTCATAAGAGGGACAGTGGTCCCCAACGAAAGCCTGAGACTGCAGATTAGGCATGGGGAAAGCTTCCGCTTCCGCTTCTCTCAGTGAGGAATCCTTCTTCATGACGCTGTAACAGATACTGGTAAGCGAAATGAAGTTAGAAAGATACACGAAAAGGTCAAACTCACCAGTAGCGGAGATATTCTGTCCCGGCATAAGACTGCTGGGGGTTGACGCGACGCTTCTTGTTAAGTGAAACATCAGGGAATATCTGTGGGTCGACAGTGCCCATCTGGGTGTTCAATGCCTCTTGCTGTGCGCGAAAGGCCTTGAACAATGCCACGTGCTGATACACTTCCTCTTCCGTGAAGGAGAGAAATGGGCGGAATGTATCCGCCTCGAGAACGGTGGGACGACTAAAGCCAATCTGACGGGAGTTGGGTCCGGGCTGCATCAACTGTGACCGACGATAGCCTCCCGCCTCTTCCTGAAAGCCTACTCCTCCACAGGGCGAGTCGCGCTGTACACCAGGGTAGGTGTTGGAGAATTCTTCGTGATCTTCTCGAAGGGCAGCATCGATTTGAAGGTGACTATCTCCGAGAAACAAACCGGGGAAGTCGGTGTGCGGGGGGGTTATCCATTGTTTGTTGTCGATATAAAAATCGATGATGGGAGTATGGGGCGACAACGTCGAAGCGGAGCTGGAGGGAGAGTGGGAGAAAGAAGGAACAGAGATCAAATCTAGGGACGGGGATGTCTCATAGTTGGGACAATAATTTGGCTGGTCCTCGAGTGGCGCGGGATGGTCCAGTGGGTACCTCTCCTGGGTCACTGCCCCAGCACCGGTCGGAGCGTGTTCTTGTCCCGTGCGATGACCATCTCCTGGCCAGCTGCGGGTAGTAGAGGTAAGAAGATGTATTCAAGGACAGCGAGGTGGGAAACGTACATAGGTGGAGTTTGGAATCCAGTGAACTGCGTGCCTCCAGTTCTGAGCACGAGTTATGAGTTTTGGAGAGGACAACCATGACGAGGAGTCGAGAAACGAGCACTTACTCGCTATAAGCTTGTCCCATGGTTCCAGTTGTCCAGGACGTGTTCTGCAATGGATGGGGAGTAGAGATGAATTCGTCAAGAGAAGTGTTTGTCATAGACATGGTCATTAGAACGTTCAAGTTGTGTGTCGGAGACGAAGAAGAGGGGAAGGAGGAGGTGGGGAGGTGAGGAAAAGCAAAGCAATGGAGTGCGGCTGATCTTAAATTGGAGCGCGACGCTGAGTTTGAATAAGTTGTGGTCGGATAACGTGATCGCGCGTTGCCCTTCGCAAAAAACATAGCAAAGTGTCCCTCACGCAAACGAAAGCCCTGTGCCGGAAGGTAGCAGAAATTTCAAACTTCACCATGGTGCTCGAACATCATTGACTCCTACGATAGACAAGCATGTAAGTGCAAGATGTTTGAAACACACTTAACGCTCACATTCGGCTCCAGACCCGCATGGTCAGGACATAGCAAAACAAAAGAGCAACACCCAGGGCATAATTCGTTTCGCGTTGCCCTACGAATTGTTGCTTCGTTAGGCCACCTCCGCCTTGATCTTAACACTGCCGCCTTGTCTTTGATGGCTCTGGTAGCGACGATCTATATAGAGAGGTGTCGTAGCCCACTATCTTGAGATCCCTCAAGATCTACAGACCACGCATTGAAGGCCTAGGTAATTTTTGTATATAATGGATCCCTAGGACGGGCAAACCCCGTAAGCCCAAGACTTTCAGACAATACGCGGCACTTACATCCCACTATTCTCAGATCTTTACAGAAGACCCAAAGCTCTTGTCGGCGAATTCACAGGGATCGGACGGTCGCGAGCCGCCCACCGTCAGTTTGCCGCTTGCGGAGTCTGGCAGCAACGACCCAGAGGTAGGCATTTTTTCTTCTCTTGTATGTGATGAATGCCTAAGAACGGATAAACCTCGTAAGCCCAAAACTTTCAGACAGTACCCAAAACTTACGTCCGATTCCCCTGAAATCTTCACAGAACATTAAACGCTCTTGTTTCACGGTTGCCAGCTGCCCGCTGTCACCACGCTATCTGTGGAAGTATACAGCTCTCTCCACCCATGAGAGCGAGCTTACATACCTTTGGGCCAACACGCCTGTCGCAGGACCCCTTGGACGTATCTTCGGCGCAAATAAGACGTCCATCCGAGCCAAAAAGCCCTGGTGAGACAATTCTGCTCTGCTCTTCACGACAGATTCAAAGCTGATGCAAAACCGCGCGATATGCACAAGTCACCCATTATTCGGAAAACGTTTTCGGAAAGTCGTCAACATACACGACCTGCGTCCTACCTCGCACTTTTGTGCACTAAGCTATGGGTGGCCGGTCAATGGTTCCTGGCAGTCGCGAAACTTGAGCCGTTGCAGCATAGTAACTTGGCACTTACATCCTCGATTCTCCCTTGGATTATCCACAGCAACATACTCGTCGCTGGGCCCTACTGAGGACATGACCGAAGAGTACAGAAACAGAAACGCAGTGACACAGACTGATACCAGCCCGACACGAACAAAACGGAAGTAAGTGACGCAAGCATCACGTGCTAGGATTCAGAATCTTTCCCGACAATTTCCCGAATGATATCTTTTATAAAGACTAAGGCTAAGAAGTGCCACTTTGAACTTTGCTGAGACAACGGATGAACGGATGCTATTGAGTATTTCTATCCTCTTTTGGTTTTATGACTATACGGTAGAGAATACTGATGTACTATGTCCGAGTCGAAGGTATTTGAAGTGCAATCACAGCCCAGATTCACACAACTTGAAGACAAAGCATAATATCTATGGGAGAGCGTGCGCTAGCGTGGGGCGTAGGTAAATTAGCGTGAGGTGAAGCGGAAATCGTATGTAAAACGGCTGGAGGACTTGCGTTGTGCATTTGAAGATAGACCATGAGGTCCATCCGATACGACCCTGCAAAAAAAACACTCAAAGTTAAAGGGTAAGACGGAAAACATCTTGCGGCGGAACAAACTATAAAAAGAAATGCCACGTACCCGGATTGAACGAGTGACCTTCTCATGTATTTTAACGAAGGATACAAGTGAGACGCGCTACCACTACGCCAACGCGGCATTGTGAATCCTTTCATATTGAGAATCACGACAAGACATCAAGATAATTCGCAGTTACAAAACTAGAGGTTGGAAGGCGTCAACCTTCTCTTTAATCAGCACCAGCCGCGCCCTTCGTCCCTCCAAAAACTTCCTCTTCTCCGCTACCACCTTGTCCTCCCTAACCCAGTCTTTCAACTGTTCTGAATCCCCTCCTTTTACAACAGCTTCGAACAATATCCTTTCCAGCGTCAACGCTAGCGTCTGATTCATCTCATGCTCAATGGTCAGTGGTACGTTGTCGATGAACCGCTGATCAACATCAGTCACCTCCGAAATCAATGATCGCAAACACTACCCACCTTATAAGCGACTTGGAAGTACGCTTGGACTTTCGCCATGACCTTGAGTTCATCCGCAAAGGTAGTTCTTGGCAGCTCATCTGGCCATCTCATATTAACGTACTTCGCTAGCCACTTGGTTGTCTCCGCTTGTAAGCACTCTACGTTCTGGGTGTAGAGCGGCACGCGCTCAAGGCTTAGAATCTTCTCCAGGGCATTCAGCGCTTCGTCCCGGCACCGTTCGTGTTCTTGCCGAGTCAACGTCCTAATGTCACCCTCAGAAAAAGTCTTTGCATGGAAAAGAAACCCGGATAAGACACGCACCGAATGAATGCCTCCAAATGAACATACTGCCCAAAATGGACCTTTAGCAATCCCTCCAAAAACGACGTGCAGTTCCTTGCCACATCTTCGAAGCAGGATCGCGCAGGTGCGTCCCACAGAGTGGTGTGTTTAAGAATGAGCGACCGGGTCGCATCAAACGGGACGTGATTGGGGAGTTCCCAGCTTATGGAACTACATTTTTATACGTCAGTGAATTTCAGGAAGACAAGTCAATGCGATAAATCTTACTGTCGAATAACCTCCGCGACATCGCTAATGTCGATCGGAGGCGTCCCACTGCTAACAAGGCTTACGTTCCTGTGATACGTGGCTTGCGATGCCTCGAAGGGTCGGAAGTCGGGGGTCGTCAACATAATGTCATTCTTGAACTGTCCATACCGCCCCCGATTGTTCTGGACATAGTGTTTGTCCTTCTCACCATATACAGCATCAGCGAAAGCGTTACAAAACCTCGAAACACGCAGCATCATCTCCGTGGAGGGGTCGAGGGTGGACAGAACCGGGAGGGCTTTGATATCTTCGATACACTGCTTGAGGAGGGCATCCACGCTTTCTTTCAACTTCGGCAAACTAAATGAAAGTCAAATCAGTATCGCAGGCCGCGTAAACCAGGCTTACTTTTGCTCGATAAGCTCCATGAGTACCGCGCTAATGTCAGCTACGAATCCCGGGATGCCAAACCTTCTCGACGCCTCATCGGGCATCTCATTCCACGGCGCGTTGGAAGCGAAGAAGTCGCTTGCAATCCGTTGCGATTCGGCTCTACCAACCTTCCGTGCGCGTTCGTCGTCGTCCGGAAGGCGAACGCAATAGTAACCTCGCTTGAGTTTGTGTTTTGCCGAGTTACCAAGTAAGATATCGCGCCATTTCTGGCGGAGGCCAGTGGCACCGCGCGTCAAGGTGTCAGGCTTCGTTAAGACGCCTGCGTGTGTACTACTTAGCCTGGTTTAACTAACGGTTTGTTCCAGTTGCTTACCAATGCTTCTCTCTCCAGTTGGATCAGCTTCATTCGCTAGTAGCGCCGCCTCTTGATTCTCAATATCGTCTGAGTGAGATATTAGAAAACTAGAGTCACAAAATAATAAACGCACCGCTCATTGGAAGCGTTACAAGAATCAAGGTATTTGAGGCTCTGATATGGTGTAAAGCCAGATCGCGCACGAGCTGGATAATCTCTCGATCCGAGTTTTGTATCAACCCTGCGATAAAGTTAGAGATTCAACTTATGTACAAGACGCAGTGGGATTCAATACGGCTCACCAGGAAGGTCGACGAAAGAAAGATCCGTCACTTCTGGATCCTTAACGTCAAGATGTACGATGTTCTTGGAGAAGGAGAGTATAAGACCCTCATCCTCAATCGCTAACGCCTTCAGCTCGGCATGAGATTTATTCAGAAATTCAGCGCGGGCGCGGTGAGGGCTGAGGATGGCAGCTTGGGCTCGACGAAGCCACAGTTCTACAGAGGACTTGTCATTTATTACAGGACCGAAATCTTCTGTGGCGGACGCATCGAGCTTGGTTCCTCGAGCGTCAAACTCTGTGCGAAGCGAAATAGAGCAGGACCAGGAATCGGCACTGCTGGATAGGGTGCACTCCATCGGACACCTAGACAGTTCTTAGGTGTGGATATACTCGTAAACCTAAGCGATGCACACCTCGTGCACGTTCCGCTATCGCGCGGGACGTTGATCTGGCAGGGGGTCCTGATAAAATTGTGAATAGATGAAATACTGGGGAGTCACTCACCCCGCTTACGGCTTCAACTAATGAGCTTTTGCCGGCTAAGTAATTTAAATTAGCGGTAGTGCAGACCGCACTTTGACAACGATACCTGATTGTCCACCGATGACCGCAATCCGAGGGAGGTCAAAAAACATTCCAGCCCTACGAACATGTCAAATACATTATGTGAGTTCAAACTGGTAGATAAAAACCCAAGGCTTTGGAGATCCTTGTGAAGTTCCATCAACAACTTGCATCTCATGGCATACTCCGTCGAGGATAAAGTGTTGCCTACGGCAGTCTTGGTCGTTCGAAGATTACCAGAGGCTGCATGAGTTAATGTCGTTCGACGGCGAAGGTCACGAAACATGGCAGTGATGAGAAGGGCAGACAACGAAGGAAGTTGTTGCCTGAGGACCTTTGCGCACTCTATTTAAGAGTTCGAATCATTGCGCATAATCACCAACGAAGTGGATAAGCCGTAGTTGGGGCTACGAATCTGACCCAGGTATGGTAGAACTTGGGAGGTTGGAGAGAATTCCTAGAGTTCCCAAACGTCGTGGTGAAGGGCGTGTTGTGCCTGCAATACATCGTGGAGATGGTGCATGAAGCGTGGAGGAGTGCTTCTGCCACTGATCTACCGAACCTACTATCCTCCCTTCAAATAGATGCTGCAGTTTCCGACAACTGGAGGCCAAGGCAGTAGTCAATGAATATTGAGGGCTGAACACCTCGACACATTTTATTTCTGAAGAAAGGCAGTTTCATTGTTGGAAGTGGTTTGCGACTGAAAAATTCAAGATGGAAATTGGATGGAAAGCAAAAGGAAAGCAAAAGGAAAGTCAGGTGTGCGTTGTTTGTTTGTGCTTGGACCAAGCTTGGACACAATACTGTACTAATCCAATCAATTCGTCGCACCCTGTGACCTGTGACCGACGCGACGAAATTTTGGTTTCGTCGCGTCACCGGGGAAGGTGTGACTGCCTGAAAATTTCGTCGAAATGTTGGAGTAGCCCTCTGTACATAGATAAATTTAAATAGTTCAGATAACTTCGCTAGAGAGACTTAGAGGGGGAAAAATCGATTTCTAATGAAAAAGGACCCCCAATTTTGCTTATTTTCCGACTGACCTGGTGGTTTCGTCGCTGGCCCCTGTGACCTGTGACCCCTTAGAATTTCGTCGATTTCGGACCCCCTGTGACGCGTGACCGACGAATTGATTGGATTAGTACAGTAATGCGCTAAAGAGGACTTTGTGAGGACTTTTACCAGAGTCCTCCTGACTCTTCGGAGGCCAATTGTTGATGAGACCACCGATGTGGAAGGTGTTAATACACTATGTACCAAGTACAATACAAGTGTCTCCAGAACGCGTAATGACTCGACTCAGCTGATCATTTCACATCATGAAGTTGAAGTTCTTCGATGCCTTTCTGCTTGCCCGATTCTGCATCTGATGCCAGATCCAAAGAAGACAAAAGGGCCTTGTCAGGATGCTCCTGAGTTGTTTTCATCTTACCCAGGATGTAAGTAGTCCCAGGATTGCGGGATGTCCTTCTGGACGGCAAAGTATCCGGCTTGAGTTGAGACATCGATTTCGTCGGCCTTTCGAATTCTTCGATAGATCCAAGACACAATGACAAGGGTGTTACTGACGATAATGGAAAGACCAGCCTAAAAGAAGGAGTCTGAAGGTGATCAAACGAAATGAAAATAAGGGCAAACCTCGATCGAACCCACTGTCATTCGATTGACGATTGCCCCCCCTCACTTCTATTGAGCAACGTTGAGTAGGAGATAGTTGTGAACGCAATTGCAGATAAAAGGGTTAATAAACTTGCAGAGAACACCGCAAGAACCATACGACGCTGATTTTGAGGGAGTTTAATATCCCAAAGGCGATAGATTAGAGAAGGATGTTGAGAACAATGTCAGCTGTGCAAGGCAGACAAACATCTCAAGGCTGTCGTCAGACTCATGAAAGGGGACTCACTGGTAGCGAGCGCGATTCCAATCGGATAATTATCTCGGCAATCAAGGAGCTCTGTCGGGGTGTTATGCCATGAAGTATTCGTGGCGCACAAGGACACCTCTGCGGTTACAAGCGCAATCATATGCCGAATATTATCATAAAGGCGTATTTTCGAGGCTTCAGTGCCGGCGGGAATATTCTGGCTATTGAAAATCCTAGGCTTAGACGAGACCACCTAAAAACAAGAAAATATTGAGGACATGACTAAAACAAAAAGAAGCCGGCCTACCATAAGATCGTCATGAATGCGCAAACCCAAAAATAGTACAGGATAACCTTCCTCTTTGTGTCTGAACCGGGCACTGTGTTTACCAGGTAAGATACCTGGCAATAAGAGTATCGTCGAAATTCATAATCACCCGAATGGACGATCCTCATCCACAGAACGGGAATGTAGATGAACTCGGCCACCAAAGGTACGATAGCGGTGTAGTCATCCCACCATAAGCGGCGTGTCTTACGTCTGTAGTAGAGCCTGAAAGCCGTGGATCCAACCGCCGCGAGCTGTAGCACAGTCATAGCAACTGATCATGATGGGAGATAAACATCAATTAGTGTAAATAGTTTTCAATGTCGCACCTTTCCAGCCAAGATATGATTGCTCTGGTATCATTGCAGACGACGAAAGAAGATAGTCTTGCCAACCGACCACAGAGGGAATCTTGCAAGGGGTCGGATAAAACACGAGTGTTTATAAGGCCGCGAAAAGTTCAAAGATACGCTTACCCTGCTGAGACAACTAACCGGAAGGAGTTTTTTGCCGTTCTGGACTCGTCACAGGGTTGTGTGTACCCGAATGATCGTGCTTGAACTGGAGATGCCTGAAGAAAGATCAGGGATGGGGATGAAGAGATAGTTTGCATTCGTGTTTACCTTTCATTTGGCGAGACATAAACAGTTGAATATAAGAGTGTGACTCATAGCAAAATCTTCGGGCAGTTCTCAAAAAAACCATACTCGAAGGAGAAACTTGAATGTGTCGGGCCCAGATGACGAGATCTACAACTTTAGCGCAAACAATTTGATGTAGCAGCTGATTTTCTTCAAGGGTTGGGCGCTTTGAGCCTTGAATGTTGTGGAGTCGATAATGATAATGAATACGGGCTTGCAACCAAAGGTCGACCGCTGTCGACCGAGGTCCGATGCAAGTCTGATGTCAAATGATATGGCAACAGGGATCAGCCAGCTTCAAAATCACGGCTAAGACCGATATTTGTACACTGCCGATCATCAATGCCGAAGTTAATTATACTTAATTAACTACTAATATAATATTGTCCATCAAAATATTTCCTGCTGTCCCGCAACAGATGATTGAATTTTCGTAAGAATAAAACTTTCCTATGTACATAATTTTATGATAGAGCTAAAAACAACCGCATATTACAGGGGAGGGCTGTTGGAGAGCATGTCATATGGCGAGTACACTATAGGAGATAAGTTGGAGATAGGGTGTTGAGGCGTTGAAAGCGGCAACTTCGGGAAAGCTGGTGGAGGAACCGACAAAAAGAGAGCTCAGAAACAATGCATAATGTGAGGTGTGTGTCAGGCTTACGGCCAATGTCCAAAACAGGGCAAATAGTCGAGACCACCATCCATGTAAGAGAATGGAGCATCGTTCATATTAGCAGCCAACAAAAGATGAACAAGACAAAACCACATACCCGTAATTTTCACCCCTCCTGCTGTTGGGCCTAATTGTGCATCTCAAAACAATAGAGCAAACAAATTCACAACAAAAATCCGATGTAGGTGGGCTTATGCACCAAAACCATATTGCATGCACTTTGAACGTTTCAGTGTGCATACGACATCGAGTCCTGTCATTGTCGTTTGCTTAGCATGTTCTGTGTACATAAGTGAGTCTAGTGCTTGGAAGTTAGGTTAATTAACTGGAAAATAACCGAGACCAGACCGGACCTAACTGCAAAAAAACCGGACTGCGGTTAGTGGTTAGTCAATTCTGGAAATGAAATAACCGGTTATTTTGCGGTTAACTAACTGTTAAAAAACCGGTTATGACCGGTTACAACCGACCCTATTATACCCCTTCAAAACGCATCTAAAAGCATGAGAAACGCTAAAAATCTGACAGAGTTATGGTCAAATCTCTAAATTATTGGCTAAAATAGTAGGCTTTCAAGAATATTATTATAAAATTGTCAATTCTTCACCGAATTTAGCGTTCTTGGCCTTGTTTTAAAGCTACGACGCATGGCAATAATGTTTACTGCAAGGAATATGAGAAATATACGCCGTTTTAATCGATTTTCTATTTTTTCGGTCCTAACCGGTTAGTAACTGCAACTAACCAGTTTTCATCGGTTATCTTTGGTCCAGTTAGGTTATTTTGGGTCTGGGAACGAACCCTAACCGGTCTCGGTCTCGGTTAGAGCCCCTGGGCACCCAATAACCTAACCTAACCGGACTTTCAAACACTAAGTGAGTCGAACAGGTTTTTGTCAACAGTATTGTCAGATGCGGCGAAGAAAATGATGTTCAATGTCATGCATGAGGTTATTCCAGTCGTTCGTGAGATCCTCCTCAGCCATTCAAAAAGATGCCTCGCGTTTCTTATACATCTGCCAAATCTAAGTAGGGACGCGCCTCATCATCGACGTACTAGATGTCGGGTGACTCAGGCAATCTTGGGGCAATCTGGTGAGTTTGACGAAGAGCTTTCTTTGATACTTTTGATGGTATGTAAGTCAAGCGCACAGCTTGAGACCATGGGAGGAAGAGAAGTAATTAAGAAGGCGGTCTTGATTCAGACGCGACGCTAGAAATTAAAAGTTTCCAGTTTCAACAAAGACTAGAAGGTGAACATGGTCGTTGTACAGTGACAAAACGAATAGGCACGTTGGATTGCACACTTTGGCGATAATCGTCGTATTAATCGATAACCAGAGGAAAATATTTGATGGGCGATATTATATTAGTAGTTACATAATTTAATAATTATACTTAACTTCGGCATTGATGATCGGCAGTGTACAAATATCGGTCTTAGCCGTGATTTTGAAGCTGGCTGATCCCTGTTGCCATAAAATGATGTGTGTTACAGCCGTTTTCATAACAATAGGCCAAAAGTTCAAAATTACAGATACAGTCGGACCTCGAATTCTAATCATGTCCACGAAAATCAGCATATATTTCAGGGATGACGAGCACGATAGATCTACAGTTATACTAAATAGAGTCATCATCCGACAATTTACACGTCCAATTTTAGATTCCGCCCGCACGTGTATTTGGTCGAGATTAGGCCTATCGTTATGAAAATGGCTGTAAGTATTCAGCCCCAGTGAAAATTGACCCTGTGCAGATCGGGTTTCTCCGGATCAAATCGATATATTTGCCAATTTCCGGCCATCTCCCCTGTTCAGATCAGGCTCCACCGATCCATTTGGCCATTTTTTAGGGTCGATTTTCACTGGGATTCAGCCTTCGGGCACGTGGCGACCCTGTCATCAACACAGAATCACCGGAAGTTTCCAGGATTCAAAAAAAATACCCGGGGTTGATTTTTTAATTTAGCAGTCACCAGCTTGACTTTTGAATCCTAAGACCCCCTTGGTTTCCGATCCTATGTTTTATTTTATGCCCACTACATAAGTAGTGGGTCTTAGCCTGCAGCTCTCAAGGGCTCCACCGTGGGAAACGTTACGGTTGTTTGTAGCTATTTCGCACATGTTTGGATTCTGCTTTCGTCATCGTCCTGGACCAGCCCTCCCACGGTGGAATACTTTACGTCTGCATCGCTTTTGTCATCGTCCAGCCAGAGAAAGGAGACATCGACGTTGGCGAACCGCGCATCGCAAAAATCACTTTTAAAAAAAGTTCATTTCTTTTTAATCTAATCGCTGGAGCGCGCCCGTAGGCCCGCTACAGTGGTTGCAGCTCTCAAGGGACGTTGGCTGTGAGGAGCGAACCGCACAAGCGGTTTGGCGACGAGCAGCCAACAAAGGATCCCAGAATCACTTTTTAAGAAATGAAAAAAAAGAGTTACTTTTTATGTAAACGTCATAGCGGGCTTTGCGCCCGTAGGCGCGCTACGGTGATTATTTTTTGTTCTCAACTTGCTCTTTTGTGGCAGCTGTGTTTACAATTGATGTGGCGCTTATCCTTGGAAGTTGGCGAGTACACGCCCGGAATGTGATGGTATGTCCAGTTTTCTTTTTTTTTTTTTTTTACCAAAAATTTTATGTTAGTTCTGTCTGAGCTACGGTGGTTAGATAGTTTCATTACCTTCCATGATCTTTGATCTCATGGAAGACTCAAAAAACAGAATCTCCTTCCAAACTAAATGAGCTTTGAACTCGGAGTTATTCTCGGAGGGAGGAAGCGACCCTAGGGCTTATTATTTTACTGCAAAACTACATGAACTCAATCACGGTTGTGCTTGATCAGACACTGTGTAGTTAGTTCAGTCACATGGGTCCAATAACAACGGAACAGCCGGACGTGACAATCAGTCGTAGTGAACGGGTCAGCCGGGGCGGCCGGTTTGATTGCCATTGTTCCATTGGCAACGAAGCGGCCGGTTTCTGACCCTGGCAGGGTTTACGCTCCCGCGGCGGAACCACTTTTTCAACCAACAGGCTCTCAGCCCATCCTGATGGAACTACAAAAAAATTTAACTGGGGCCTCTCTCCCCTTACTTATATCCATCTAGATCTGTAGCATAATGTATCTTAATCTTTATCTCATCCAACTCCTGCAAGATAGTCTCCATATAAACCAAAAACTGAATTTTGTCCCAACAGGGAAACACTCACCTTGTAGTTAAGAAATGAAAGCTTTTCATTTAGCTACTCACACCTTGTCTACTCATTTGTGGCTCCATTGGGGTGTCAAACTGGAATTGATGGTTCTGTTGGGGATGTCTCTGTCAGGGTGTTTGACATTGAGATTGAAGGCGCCACAGGGGATGTTTCCATTGGGGTGTTTGACATTGAAATTGAAGGTGCTGCAGGGGATGTCACTGTCGGGGTGTTTGAGGTTGAGATTGAAAGCGCCGCAGAGGATGTCGCCATCGGGGTGTTTGAGGTTGAGATTGAAGGCGCCGCGGGGGATATCACCGTCGGGGTGTTTGACATTGAAATTGAAGGTGCCGCGGGGGATGTCTCTGTCGGGGTGTTTGACATTGAAATTGAAGGTGCCGCGGGGGATGTCACCATCGGGGTGTTTGAGGTTGAGATTGAAAGCGCCGCGGAGGATGTCGCCGTCGGGGTGTTTGAGGTTGAGATTGAAGGCGCCGCGGGGGATATCACCGTCGGGGTGTTTGACATTGAAATTGAAGGTGCCGCGGGGGATGTCTCCGTCGGGGTGTTTGACATTGAAATTGAAGGTGCCGCGGGGGATGTCACCGTCGGGGTGTTTGAGGTTGAGATTGAAAGCGCCGCGGAGGATGTCGCCGTCGGGGTGTTTGAGGTTGAGATTGAAGGCGCCGCGGGGGATATCACCGTCGGGGTGTTTGACATTGAAATTGAAGGTGCCGCGGGGGATGTCTCCGTCGGGGTGTTTGACATTGAAATTGAAGGTGCCGCGGGGGATGTCACCGTCGGGGTGTTTGAGGTTGAGATTGAAAGCGCCGCGGAGGATGTCGCCGTC